TTCCACAAACTGCTAGCGGACTGGTTCTGAGTAAGAAGTGATTGTTCTTGTTCTATACATTCTTGGCGGATGCAGATAGTAAGTAGAAACTGAGTAATTTTTATAGGTGCCTCCCATTAATTTGCCCAGTAATCCTTTAAATACAGCATTGTAATCACCTGACAGTTTTAAAAGAAAAATATTATGCCTCGATACTACCTTCAGAAATTCCTATTTAATCATTCTAAAGTACAGTCTTAAATAAGGAAACAGAAGCACAGAGTATTTAATAACATGCTGAAAATCATTCACTACTGGTATGTAAAGAAACTAGGATTTGACCTCAGGTCTAAGCTCACAGCTTCTGTTCATTGGTTATTTAGAAAATATTTAGAATATTATAGTACCACCATTTTGTCAGTTCCTTAAAAAGGATTTAAAAAAACACATTTTCCTATATTTTTACATATCATATTATTACATCTTACACATACTTTTTCTAAAGGAATTTATGTCAAACTTTATAGAGGAAGTTGGTAGGAAATAAAATCCCTTAGAACCTGCATTTATTTTACCTTATGACCCTTTCTAAACACAATACTAACATTCCATTATATGAAGCTCTCTGAAATGCTTAACTTTTTAGAGCAAAGGGGTGATTAGTGGAAGATAAAACAGTTGTTTCCTATCTCATAACATATGGTAGAAGTGAAGAGATGACTTTCATAATTAGGAATTAATAATTCCAGTTTTTATTTTTGACACATAAAAGTATGGGTTTCAGTGGACTCTGAACATTTGAATAACAATAGAGGTAGTTTTTTATAACTAGCCTTTTAAATATGAATGCGAATTGAGCTTATGAGAATGGTTTTTACAGTCTGTAACCATATGTAACCCTGTTCTCCGACCTCTCCCTTTATCTCCTCTCACTCCTATTTATCAGGCTCTGTGCAGTGGGGAAAATGGGCTTATGAGAATGGTTTTTACAGTCTGTAACCATATGTAACCCTGTTCTCTGACCTCTCCCTTTATCTCCTCTCACTCCTATTTATCAGGCTCTGTGCAGTGGGGAAAATGGGACACAGTCTCAGATTTCCACAGCATCATTTAACTCAGTAAAACCAAGTATACCTTCTAGTATCCGAAACCTTATATTTTACATTATACTTACAAGATAGCTAGCTGACAAAACAATTTAAAAATAGCAGACCATGGACAGGTGACAAAACGTCATGCTGGCAGCACCAGACTGCATTAACAAAAATCACCAGATGTCACACACTTGATTCTATTTTCACAGCTGATTAAACAGCAGTATTTATTGGACAAAAGGAAGAAAAAGAAATGGCCTCATCTGAATTTGGAATCAGTTTCTTTTACTGTTATATACTTTCACTCTCCTCCAAAATTCCTTAATAACTGTAAAACGTAAGACATACACTATATTAAGAAAAAAAAAATCAAATCTGGTTTTAGAAGAGAAACCTTCACACATACATACTCCCTAAACTGGAAAACTATAAATCAAAAGGTTAACAGTGCTTATCTTTGGTGGTCTTGTTTTCATTTTTCTGCATTGTCTAGTTTTTGTCAAAATATATTGCATTATAATCTAAACATTAATTTTTGAAGAGGTAAAGAAACTAGCTTAAATAAGCCATAAGTGATTTTACTAAAAAAAAAAAATTGCATTTAGTTAGGGAAAAATTAGATTATATTTAGATAATATGTTCTGATGATCTGGCATTAACCTAGTTTCTTATAAAATCTTTTGTTGCTGACTTTAACCCAGAGATTAGTTGAAATCAAAGAGGCCAACAGATAGGGAGAATACCAGGAAAGGTAAAAAATTTTCTGCTTTTCAGCAATTAGTGATGCCTTCAACCTGCAAAACACTGCCTAAGGCTCTTCTTCTGCAGCATCTTAAGAAAGAGGGGTTAGAAATAATCAGTATAGTATTCCATAAAATAAATAAATAAATTCACACACACACACACACACACACACACACAAAAAAAACCGGGGGTGGGGGGGGGAGAAGACATAACAACTACAGTTCCTTGAAGTTGATACGACAAGCAAACAGAAAGGACATTGTTGGGTGGGAGGGAGGAGAGGGAGGAGGGAGGGAGGTTTCAGTAATGGGCCACAATAAGCAACCACATTGTATATCGACAAAATAAAATTTAAAAAAATAAAAGAAAAGAAAAAATAAAAAAATCAGTATGTATATGGCAAAAAAAAAAAAAATCAGTGTACCATAGAGAATGATAATTAGAAAACGACCAAGCCTCCTTTCAGTTTTATCTTTCCAAGCTGAAAAGTTCTAAAACCTCATGGAAAATGTCGAAAAGGATCCATGTAGGTATGTTCAACTTCTGGAGGACGAAAGGGGCACTGCTTTAAGTTTGGGAAGATAAGTACTTCCAGAACCATATAAAAACTATTATTTGATGTAGTGGTTGTAAACTACATAATTCTTTACCATGGAGTATTGTAGATGTAGGAAATCAAAGAAGTCAAATGAGGATCAACTAAATGTGGGCTGGCTTGATTTCCTTGATGACCCTTCAATATTGTAGGAATATTTAGGGAAAATAGGTAGCCTTTTGGGTACCACACTCTCCTCTAAATATTCCTTGGTCAAAGATTGAAGAGACCCTGTGTATATGCCATTTTCTTAAGTTCTGATGGGCACTGATTTTGAGGTCTTCATGGGTTTTTAGGTAGACTTCCCAGTGATTGGCTATTTACTGTTAAATTTGAATACCCCAAAATATGAAAACTGGTTTAGAGTAAATCACATCTAGTTTTCATGGATGTTAGTATTTGGTGGTAGTTAATCCAGATAAAGTCTTGATTATCTGAAAATAATGAAGGAGAAGACATTGATACAGCTAGCTAAGTGAAATCAGAATACAGATTCTCCCTACTGAGTCAAAGCCTTGTTCTGGTGACAAGTTTTCCCATAATAAGTTCCGATCAAGGTGGTGGTGGGAGATATCCCTCATTGCATATGGTGTAGAGTATAAATTTCAGGGACTCTAAAATGACTTAGGAACTAGAAAAACATAAGGCGTGTAGAGCAATTACATATAGATATGTTAAATGTGTCTTTTAACAATGGGTAGTTTTTGAAACAAACTCCAAATAATTAGCTTCTAGTAAATAGGAAAAGGCCTATGAAATCTATAAAAAAAAATAGGCAATTTTATTTTTTAGATGATTCTTACTAATATGATTTTTCTACAGAAAACATTCTAATCTAAAAAATTTTTACTATATTATAAATGTTAGCAAATAGTCTCCACAAAACAAGAGAGAAATGCCATAGCTTTCTCCTAATAAGGAAGTTTAAAATAATAAAAACTAAAAATAATTTTTACTGAAACCCCTGTAACGCTTTATGGTAAAATTGGAACAGTTTCATCAGAATCCATCAATTTTTGATGATTTTCCTATTCTTAAAACACACACGCACACACGCACATCAATACAAGTGACATTACACTTTTGACAGTTTTGTTTTTTTTCCTACCTTTTAATATGAATAACCTTTCATAAATTACTATGACCTGAGAGTTTTTAAGAAATTAGGATGGCCTTATGTAGGCAAAAACTTGATTTATCTTGGAATTCCTGATTCTCCCTTTGAATTTGAGGCAAATGCTCTGTTTCGTCCACTATGATGCTTTTTTTCTGGGTCAGAAGAGCTTGATGATGTTTGCCTCCAGTCTCGCATAACAGAATTTAGTACAAAATGATGACTGACACTTTTGCAATTATATATAAAACTGTGTTTGTAGTAAAAGTCAGTCACTTTTTCTTTATCTCCAGTTTTCTCTATACCACCCTCCCCCAAAATACTGTTGAGATTTATTTATTCAAACAATGGTAGTGAAATAAAATTAACATTTTTCTGAGAATTTCATAACCCTTGACGTAATTGAACATGAAAACCTTGCAGAGCCAAGTTCATAGATACTAGCTTTACAAAAAGCATTGTTTCAATAAGTTTTATTAAAGGAATTGGTCAGGAAAGCTTACTATGTGCATTTTTTCCATACAAAACTTGATTTAATTTTTCTTTCAATACATCCACCTCCTTGTCCCAAATAATTAATGAAAAAACATACCTAATGTCTGCATCTTCCACTCTTACCCCTGTGGGCCATTAGTTGAAACACCTGATTCCTACTTGTCTTCTTACAGACCAAGGGTTGGCAAAATTTGTGAAGGGCTGATGAGTAAATATTTTAGGCTTTCAGGGCCACATGGTCTCTGTCGCATATTATTACTTTTTTTGTTTGTTTATTTACAACCTTTTGAAAATGTAAAAGTAACTCTTAGCTCAGAGGCATTCAAAAACATGTAGCCAGCCAGTGTTTCCAACTCCTGTTGTTGAAATAAGGATGAAGGTCTGGTGATTAGCATTATGCCCAAGGTCATATAACTAGTTAGTGTTAGGGGCAGCAGCAGAACCCTACATTTTTAGGCCAGTCGTTTTCCCCCCGTTGCATCTGTTATGTAAGTTTTACCATCTTTCTTCTGTTTGCCATCTGATAATTATGTTGCATTTTTGAGCCACTGTGAAATCTCTATTTTTTTTTATTCTCTAAGCTTCAAGTTTATATACTACTTTGAATTTATTTTTTTGCTGCTTGAATTTGAAGGGCAATATGAATGATTATTTAAATAAACTGCTTAATCCAAGGAATTGGCATGTTTAAATTGGAATGTGGGGGATGTGTTAAATTTCAGGCTGTTACAACAGAAGCTTCTTTTATGTTTTGTTTTATTTATTTATTGTTGAGACTTTGGCTTTGTTTTAAGACTTTTCACGTGTATGTTTTATGACTTGATTTAAAAAGTGTTGTAATTGCTTTGGCCTTTGATAGTACTGTTAGAGATTAATCTGTTTTAGCTTTTTGTAATGTTCATATTTTACAATATATTTCAAATGATTACATTAAGCATCATTTTCTTTGTGCTTAAAATAAAATCATTTTATTTTTTAGGGCGCATGGGAATAAATTTCCATCATCCAGGAACAGATAATATTATGGCACTTAACAGTAAGTCTTCATATATAATATTCTATAAAACTAGCAGTCAAGGTTGTAGCATGTGGTTTCTTCTTTCTTAATTGTTCATTACATTTCAGCCTTCTACTGAATGCAGTATAGATCATTATTCTATATTAGTGGTTCTCAAAGTGTGGTCCCAGGACCAGCAGCATCAGCATTGCTTGGACACTTAACTAAAAATGCAAAATCTCAGGCCCCACTACAGACCTACTGACTCAAAAACTTTACAGATGGGTCCCAGAAATCTTAGAATTAACAACTCCTATAGGTGATTGATATTGGTAATAGATGCAGGCTAACGTTTGATAATTGCTGCTCTATACCAGGATTGGCAAACTACAGCCCCATAAGCTAAATCTGGCCCACTACCTGTTTTTGTAAGTAAAGTTTTATTAGGACATAGCCACATTCATTCATTTATGTGTGGATTATCTATGGCTGCTTTTGTGCTACAAAGGCAGAGCCCAGAAAGCCTAAGCTTATTTACTGTCTGGCCCTTTACAAGAAATGTTTGCTGTGAGCCCTGCTCTATACCACTGGGTTGGGGGAACAAAGGAGGGAGGTGAAGGGAGAGAGGGAGTGGAGTAGAGAATGTGAATGAATAAATCAACTTATTTATACATAACTCAGAAATTTCTCATTGTGGTAGATAGCTGACAGATGTTTCAAGGTGAACATCCAGGAGTCTTCCATTAGTGGAATTTGTGTGGTATAGATGTCAACAGCTTTGCAGGTTAGAAATGGTTTTGTCAGTGTAATTGTTGGATCAAGCTCTGGAGCATCAAAAATTTACTAACCAGGAAGTCATTGGATTAACTAACACTGGAAGAAATGTCTGGTTGGCATCAGCTCTTTTTTGTAGTGTCTATGATCAAATAGCCTTGTAGAAGAACAGTCTAAATGGAAATTGTCCATTGTCAGGAGGATGTATACAACCATTGAATCTCTTGGGATTTTTTTTCTCCTCTAGCAAATGAGTGATAATCAGATTGGCCCCTCTCATCCTCCCAGGTATATAAGGGTACTTCAAAAAGTTCATGGAGGGCCGGCCTGGTGGCGCACTGGATAGTGCGCCGCTTGGGAAGCGCGGCGGCGCTCCCGCCCGAGGGTTCGGATCCCACATACAGACCGGTTCCCACTCAGCGAGCGAGGCGCGGGAGCAACACCGAGGGTTGCGATCCCGTTGCCGGTCCCCGGTCCGGTACGGGGGCAACACTGAGGGTTGTGATCTGTTGCCGGACACGGAAAAAGACAAAAAAAAAAAAAGTTCATGGAAAGATTCATGTTATCTTTTAATTCTATTTTTCCAAGAACTTCCTGAAGTACACTCGTACAAGCTGACTCTTGATATACATGGGAGACATACTGGGTAAATCTAGGATTGTGTACGATATTATTCCTTTCCCTCTTGCTTGAGCAAGGATACCATTGGACAGATGGTCCAATTAAAGTACCATTGGACAGATTTCCTTAGGACAGACTTCAGGTTATCTCTAAAATATATTTTTCACATTTCCTTGGTGCTGACATGTAGCTTACCTATGAGTGAGCACTGCTGAGAACCACTGGCAGTGCTTGATGATGCAGCTCCTAAGCCACTCCATGCATATTTTTTTCTAGATAGCTAGTATCCCCTCCTTTGGTGGGTCTTGGAGACAATAAAAATTCAAAATTTCCACCTCTAATTTTCTAATATCTAAAAGAAAAGTCACTTTATTTTTTATTTTTTATTTTTTTTGTCTTTTTGTCTTTTTTTTCCATGTCCGGCAATGGATCGCAACCCTCAGTGTTGCCCCCGTACCGGACCGGGGACCGGCAACGGGATCGCAACCCTCGGCGTTGCTCCCGTGCCTCGCTCAGCCAGTGAGCGGGAACCGGTCTATATGTGGGATCCGAACCCTCGGCGGGAGCGCTGCCGCGCTTCCCAAGCGGCGCACTAGCGCAGTGCGCCACCGGGCCGGCCCCAAGAAAAGTCACTTTAAATTTAGATTTTGCTACCTCTAATTTTTTTCTAGTGGGATGGGAATAAATAAACATGCCTTACTTGCTAAGCTTCGGCAGTAATTAATTGTGCAAAGACTTCAGTTAGATGATGGGATTTAGAATTGAATGTAAAAGAAAAGAACAGTATGGTAGTGTGTTTGCCTGAAGGAATAAATGTGTTATCTGAGAAAAGGCCTAATTTGACATGATGTGAGAGTCCTCTTCTGCAAGAGGAAGAGGATTTAATTTGTGATTTTTCTGTGTAAAAAATGAAGCTAAAAGACATTTTTCTTTTTAAAAGTTTTTGATTCTCTTTGATTTGATTTTCTTTAATTCTCTGCTTTTCAATAAGAAATTTTATATATGCTCTTTCTATTTAGTGCGTATTCCATAAATTCCTTTTTTGGCCTCAATTTTCTCATCTGTGACAGAAGGGGACTGATTAGGTAATCTTAATGATTGCTTTCCACATGAAGATTCTGTGATTCTGTAATTTTTTTTTTTTTTTAAGACGCCAGTAAGGGGATCTTAACCCTTGACCTAGTGTTGTCAGCACCACACGCTCCGAAGTGAGCGAACCGGCCATCCCTATATGGGATCTGAACCCATGGCCTTGGTGTTATCAGCACCACACTCTCGCGAGTGAGCCACGGGCTGGCCCCTGTAATATTTTTTAAAGTACCAAAAAGGTCATTTTGCTGATATCTATGTCAGACGTTGATGAGTTACACATAGTTGCAACATGATAGGCAGACATCAGAGTGTGTCAGTCTTCAAATGGCTCTGTGGGCGCTGTCCAGGGCGCTGTCCTGTTGGCTCCTAAGAATAAACCATAAAAATGACCAGTTTGATATTTACATTACTTACCATTGGTTTTCTTGCAAAGTTGACTCCAACTTGAGATGATCAGAATAAAAATCGGGCGCTGTCCAGGGCGCTGTCCTGTTGGCTCCTAAGAATAAACCATAAAAATGACCAGTTTGATATTTGCATTACTTACCATTGGTTTTCTTGCAAAGTTGACTCCAACTTGAGATGATCAGAATAAAAATATCCTCCTTGGTAGATACTTGTGGGACCTGCAGGCTTTGACAAGTTTGCTGTGATACAGCTTTTTTCCCCACCCTTTTGTATAGTATAACAAACCATCTGGATGTGCAAACACACTTGTGTATTTTTTGTCTTCCTTTTTATGCCTACCACTTGTTGGCCCGACAGTTATTGTCCTGTGACTGGTCTGTCCTCCTTTTCTCTCCATTTTCATATAGGAATAATTGAGATGAAGTCACAAATTGCTGAAAATTTATTGATTCAGAATTTGTGATTATTGGTAGGGATTAGGTTAAGGTTGAACTGTATTTTCAGAAAAGAAGGGACTGGCTAAGAAAATTAAAGAGAACTGAGGCAATGCTTTAATCTTTTTCAAAAGGAAATGTGAGTCAGTTGTAGTTCCTTTTTTCTTATCCTTTTTAAAAATCCTTTTTTCTCTACAAAATCCATGCTTACTCTCTACATAAAAAAATCTTCCATCCTTCTTTTAACTCTTTGACCTCACTAAAACCTGAATCTCTCCTGAAGATTCCATGTTCTCAGCTCTTCTGAATTGATGGGAAGGACAGAAATGCATGATGAGCATTCTTACTTCTCAGTACTACTTCTCATCTTTGAATGAGCCAGTTTACCATTTTTTGGTGTTCCTAGTGCATGCCTTCCAGTTATACTTTTCTTTGAGAATCACCACTGCTGATAATGTCATCTAGAAGACAGAAAAAGGAGCTTGGGAGAAGAGGATAGGATACCAACTATGGGAAAACAAATTGGAGTTACTAGTAAACCTATAGACATTTAGGTTGTGGAAAGACTTTACGTTGTATAAAGCCAAAGAGAACTGATTTTCTTTTTAAGACCATGAATCTAGTAAAAATTAGCAAGCCAACCTTTGGAGAGGAACCTGAGAGACACGTTTAAATTTCAGCCTTTCTCAAAAATATTAGGTCTTCAAGTACTGTAGAATATAGAAAGGGCGGTGGTAGAAAGAAATGCTAATCCATTAGTAAGACCTACCACTTGTCCAGTATTTCCAAAATAAAGTTAAGTCTGAAACAATGTACCCCTTCCACTTAAACAGATAATATATATTTTTTAACTTTTTAATAATTCTTCCCATGAAACATCTTCTTCACTCTTACACCAAAAACACTGAAAGTTTGCATAATGTAATTTTATTTTTTCTGCTGAAGACAGAAAGAGGCTGCTGAGAGTGCTTCTAGCTATGTATGTTGTAGTTGTAGTGGTTCTATCAGACATATTTTTCTAAGATTAATCATGTTTGCGTTTTTGTTTTTTTCACTCCAGGTGTAGTGTTTGTTTAGCATTTGTGGTCTTGTATAGCATTGTTGCCAGACCAGGTGATTTTTTTCCTATTATGTTGATCTTCAGAAAAGAATATTGGTGCTTCTATGATTGGTCAAATGAACCAAAGTTGTGGTGAAATTAATGTTCAAAACCAGAATGCCTGGTCTCAATTTATTCCAAGTGATACCACTGCTGAGTATATCCATTTATTCCTTTTGACTGGTCAGCTCCTCTTTTTCCAAGCAGAAAATGGGCTTGGGAAAACAGACAAATATCAGAAAGTTGTTTGATGAGTACAAGATGAGAAATAGAGGGCGTAGTATGGCTTAAGGGATAGTATCATTCAGCTCCAAAGAGGCATCTTCCAAGCAGACTGAAAGGCATATGAAACCTGAAGATGCGGGCCGGCATCTTCAGGTTTAAAATTTTAATACCTTAAACAAACCAAAGAGACATTCACTTGCTTGAGAAGCTCTGAGGTCATTGATAGTTAAACAACTTACACAGAGCTGATGTACCAAGAAACTTGGAACTTTAGGTTATACCATATTCCACATTTTTCTTCTTAGTAATGCCTTGAAAATATGGAAGGTTTTGCTTATATTTCTGTTTGAATTGAGGGCTGCCAGTGCCTTTGTTGAATCAAAAGA